CCCCCCCCCCCGTCGAAGGCTCCTGCAGGGGGAGGGGAAACTGGGAAATTAGATTCCTCAAGAAAACGTTAATTTCAAAAGTACGGAGAATATATCTGCAGCTAACTTGTAAATTACTAAATTTTGCATGAACCACACCCTATTAATGATGTCCTGAAGTTTTTGCAACGGTTCAACCACTGTCCCATGATGTTTCTTGAGCAAATCGTCAAGCCTGTAAGTCCTGATAATCCGATCTTGGGAATTCGTTAGCAAAAAATCACCGCGCCGCGTCAAGAGAATGTTTTTTATCTGAAACAAAGAAGACTTGCGAGTTCCAAATTTGCTGAATTATTTGGCAATATTCGTAAAAGCAAAAGAAAAATTCAGAATGAGCTAGCACAGAAACATATTTTGTTTTAGTGTATTGCTGTCCAAATTCAAATTCCCGAATAAAACTGAACAAAGAGGGAATATACGCGTTTGAAATTTTTTGGAAACAAATAACCATGGAATTCTGGGGAAAAAAAGCATGCGAAAATTTATGCCGTGCAGATATTTCGTATTTAGATATACTTTCATGCAATGTTTTTTGAACTGACACATACCTGATGCGAGACATTCTGCTTCACGTAGGTGACTAATTTCAATATCTTGGCATCATGGACAATAATGCGTCCCCTGCTGCTTCCCATAACAATGTACTTCCCTCGGCGGTCAAATGTTGCGGCCGTAATCTCTCCCGCCTGATCATCATTTGGCCCATGAAGAAACCTCTGCAAATTGAGCAACACCTAATTATGCAAAATTTACCTGGCCAATCAAATTGCTCGGGTTAAAATTTTCCCACAGTTACAAGCTGTCGTGTCAAACACGAAAAGTGATAGATAAACTTTATTCTGGAACGTTTTATTTCGTTTTCTTTGTGTATGGATATAAAAAATCTGCAAAAAAGGGATTACAAGGAGGAAGAATGAGCAAGGATCTCTGAGGTAGGAAAGACATTTATTCCTAAAAGAAGGAGCACTAGGATGTGGCGGACTGGAAGGAGGTACGAGTTCGAAAGGCGGATTTGGCGAGAAGATTACAGGCGAAATTCGGAAGCCAACAGTTGCAAGATCCGTTGGAGTGCTTAGGAATTGGTGTTTATACATATATCGTTGAATTAGGTTAAAGTTGTGTTCTTGGATTTGGTGTATTAAAAAATAACAAAAAATAAGATATATTAAAAAATAAGATATATTAAAAATTGAGCTCTTTGCTTCAAGCATGGCTGTTTGATCATAGGCAAAAATCAAATGATCAACACAAACTACAGTTTTGGGCGCTCTTGTCACAAATAACGTGAAATTTCCAATTTTCGTTGATATTTAACGCGAATAACAGCAAAAGTCAGTTTATTCAGAGGGCTGGTATTAAACAGCGGATTTTTTGAAATTTCAATTTCTCACTTATCCACATGGATTTGAAATAGCATGCCGGAGATACGAACACAAAAACCAGGCTGGAGCTTCGAATCTCTGCACTTCTGACTTCACAAAAAGCAATAATTTTTTTTCTATTGGAGAAAAAAAACTTACTTCTTTGTAGGGATTTTCTGTAAAATCCATGAGCACCGGTTCTTTGCCCAAATAAATCACCAATACATGCTTGTCATTACTGCAAAAATAAACTGTTGTGCATTGAAATCGTCTCAGATCAGCAGCAGCAGCAGCTAGAAGCTGAAGGTTCAGAAGGACTCGGCTTTGTCTACAGCAAAATCAGCCTCTACACGAAATGTTTCAATGGTAAATGTTTTCGAAATTTTAAAGATGCAAACAATAAATATCTCTGGCTTGGGGACTGGAAGAAGACAGGGGCCTGAAGTCTTCTATGTATTAAAATACGCAGTTTATTTGGGCATTGTTGGCCCGCCGTTGAGAGGAACATAATCGAATTTTGACAGTTATGGGAAAACAGGAAGTGCTCCCAGACAAGCGAGCCTGTAGGTACATTGAGCTGTTATTCTGTCCGTATTTCATCCCTGAGCTGTCAACAATCGGTGCGGAATACAGTGGGAATCATCAGTACAGTGCCCCATTCCGCCATGTTAAAATGTGCTTTTTTCGTAAGCGAAATTAGTCCTGATTTTCTCAAATAACAACGAACAATACGAAATATTTGGGTTTCATATCGCATGTTCTATAACAAGAAGTAAAATTTTTTTT